AATTCTTTGCTAAACTTGTCTTTCATATTTTGAATCATTTTGTTTAGCTTGGCTAGCTTTTTATAAGTGTCTTTTTTGAGCTCATTGAGCACCTTATTGATCTGTTTCTTTCTATCTCCTCTTACCTCACTTCATATAATTCAGATTTTTTTTCCTTCTCATCAATGCCCTGTGGATCAGCTTTGGAGGAGTTGCGAGATTTGGGCGGCATTTTGTTGCCTCAGTTTCTTTTAGGTTTGTGTGTGTGTGTGTGTGTGTGTGTGTGCGCGCGCGCGTGCGTGCATGGGTCAATTACAGTGCAAAGACTTTGTTGCTAGTATGGAGATCTCTTTAGTTAGTGTCTGCTTTCCAGTGATGTGCTCTAGATATAGCTATCTACAGGCCTTGGCCACTGTCCCAAGGTCTGCCCACCTTTAATCATTTGAAGAGGGGAAGGTACAGTGTAATTGGTCCAGCACTCAGTTCTCTGGAAATGAATTGCAGTATTGTTGATTACACAAAGAAAAACAACATATTGATTGGCATGCAGTAAAAACCAGTGTTGTAGTCAGGGTTTTGGCAAGGGAATACATTTAATAGAGGACACATGGTTTATAGGATTATTTTATGATATTTACCCAAAAGGTCAAATACAAAGCAGTACAAGAGATTAACTACACACTAGAGGCCCAAAGAATCCAACCAAGGGCCTGGATCCCACAGGAATGTCCTACACAAGTCCAGCTAAAGGCTTAGACTCCAAGGCAATGTCCTTCATGAGTCCAGCCAGTGGCCTAGGGCCCACAGCAATGTCTCATGCTTGTCTGTATTTTGGATCTGTACCTGGAAGGCCCAAAGGCCAGTGGTGGAATCCAGAAAACCTATGTTGGTGGGATGAAGGATTTGTGCCACTAAACTGAGGGTACTACACTAGAGTCAGGAAATGATGCTCACGGTGAAGATCAGAGCTCCCCTGACAAGAATAGCAGCCATTCCCAGTAACAGGGAGGCCCCAGACTCCTTCTCTAATGAGAACAGCCTCGTTTGCATCAGGAAAATCATTCCCAGCAAACTTCTCCTAGAAAATCAAAAGCCCACAATCCTCCTCTCCAGTTCTTTTTATGGCTATTGGCAACAATCCTCAGGTGGATCTTCCATGCCCAAACCACACTGATTCAGTTCAGCTGGGTGATACAAGCTGACCATTAGTTAATCCACCACAACCAGTTAATAGCAACAATCATGTCACCCAAGCAATAGCAACAGAATCAGCAAAAGAAGAGTCATAGTCAAACTGAATATTGACATATCATAAAAATCAATAAACTATACTACTCTACCACCCTTAACAGTAGAAATGAGATCTATAATTATAATATAGACACAAAGACAAACCAAATACAGTAAAATTTTGATTTGTAAGCATAGTTTGTTCCAGAAACATGCTTGTTATTCAAAGCACTTTTATATGAAAGTAAATTTCCCCATAAGAAATAATGGAAACTCAGATAATTTGTTCCACAAAAAAAAATTACAATACTGTATTTTAGTACAAAATAATGAAGAAAATACAGGGCCAGTGATTCAGCTCAGTGGTTCTGGCACCTGCCTCACAAGTGCAAGATCCCGAGTTCAATTCCCGGTACCTTCCCCCCAAAAAAGTCATACAGGGCCGGGGATTTAGCCCAGTGATTCCGCCACCTGCCTCAAAAGCACATGGTCCCGAGTTTGATCCCCGATACCAAAAAAAACCACAAGAGTTAAAAATCTTAGGGCCGGGGATTTAGCTCAGTGGTTTCGCCGCCTGCTGTGCAAGCTCAAGGACCTAAGTTCGATACCCAGTACCAAAAAAATAAAATAAAAATAAAAAATGAAAGTCATACATGACTGGCCTGGTTTCTCATCATGGAAGGCAGGACCACTGTGTCCTTCTTGGCTCAAGTTTAAACTTCTCGGGGATGCCTACGTTTAGCCTGCACCCTCTCTGTGACTGTCTCTTTGGCCATCTCCCACCCAGTCACTATGGTAAGGTGACCCAAGTAACCCTAAAGTGTAGTTGTTCTATAGCTCAGTCCTTATTTTTTAAATTTTTTTGGTTTTGGGGATCGAGGGGGTCTTTGCGCTTGCACAGCAGGCAGTGAAACCACTGAGCTAAATCCCCGGCCCTATAGCACAGTCTTTAACAGTCAACTCGGGCCGGGGATTTGGCTCAGTGGTTCCGCTGCCTGCCTTGCAAGTGGAAGGACCCGAGTTCAATCCCCGGTACCAAAAAACCCCACAAAAAACCAGTCAACCCAACAGTCCCCCAAATGACTCTTCATTAAACCCTCTCAAATGTGGCTGTTATGGCTTGTGTTTATTTATTTTGAGATAGGGTCTCACTATGTAGTTCAGGGTGACCTTGAACTCACTTTGTAGCTCAAGCTGGCCTTGAACTTATGGTGATCCTCCTGCCTCAGCCTCCCAGGTACTGGGATGGCTTGCATCTAGTTGTCCCCCCAAAGCCCAATGCAGTCATAGGTTGGGAGTTTCCAAGGTGGCTGGATTAGCGGGTGTGAATGTGGATTAAGGGTGTTATACTGGAGGTGGGTGGATAATGGAAGTTTATGCTGGTTACAGGTGGCACCAATCAATAGTCTTGTAGCCTGGATGGAATATGAAGGGACAGAAAGAAGGCAGGCTCGCTGCTGCTACTTACTGCTTTTGCTGCTGCTTGCTGCTTGTTGATTTCTACTTGCCATGCCATGGACTGTTTCTCCTCTGCAAGACCCTTCTGCCATGAGTTTGAACCAGCCAACTATGGACTGAAACAAACTGTGAGCTGAAATAAACTCTTCTTTCTTTGACTTTTGGTATTGGATATTTTGCCTCAGCAATTAAAAAAAAAACTAAGATAATGACCTGCTGTAATGAATTTCTTCTCCAACTCTAACTAGCAATGTGGAAAGAGTCACTTTTAGACTAAAACCCCACACTGTTTTACAGTTTACAATAACTATGGGTTTTGGGGGGCTAGTGCTGCTAGCCAGGTCTGTTATTTCTCCCTGGAGTTGCTGACTTCTATGGGCTTACCTTGTGTTAGTGGAGGCAAGTCCTCTTTCCTTGGAGCCAGGTTTAGCTTTCCAGACTGCTTTGTTTGTTTTCTCTGTGTTGTGCTCCATTTCTCCAGCTTCTCTGTAGTTTCTAGTTTTCCTGTCAGTTCCCTTCCGATTCTTGGAGATCTATTTCTTTTTTTCCTTCACCAAGTTATTACTTCTAAGTGTCTTGATTCCACAAAGAGAGGCTATATTTTGCTGCCAGTGTGTAGTTTGGTATTTTTAATCACTCTTTATCAATATTATTTATAAAATTTGTTAGTGATGTTTGGGAATAAAACTCAGGTCCTTGCAAATGCCAGGGTAGTGCTCTATCGTTGAGCTATACCCCTATTCCCTTATCATGTGTATTAATTATTATCTTTCTCCCTCTACCAGAACATTTTGTTTACTTGGTTCTCTGGTGTTTGCCAAGGGTCTAAAATAGTGTTTGGTATATGATTTTTTATTGAATTTAACTGGTTGGTGGTCATTGTCTCTCATATGTAAAGTAACAACTGTGGTTGTTTTCCCTTGAAATAGTAAAACAAAAATACAATTATATAAATAAAATATCCAGTCTCATATTAGGAGTATTCTTCTGTTAAGTAAAATTTATAGGAGGTGGTCAGTTTGGACTGAGCACCTCCAAGAGACCAGAGGAAAATGAAGTTACTCAAGCTGAAGTTCCACATCAATGAAAAATTAAAGCTTTTAATCTGGCCTTCCAAGAAATCAGGAGAGAGCGATACTATCCAAACTGCCAAATAAGCCAGTTTTAGCTGGCATGATAAGGAATTGCTCTTTGCTTTAACCTCTAAAAGGAAGTTAACTTTGAAATGGCCAATATTCTTTTATTCCCTGTATCTACTTTCTTCAGCCCTTTTCTGTCTATGAAGTCAAGCTCCTCAGCGCGTCAGGACATTCATTCTGTTTTCAAAATAAGAAGTTACTCTATTCTAGAATTGCTGATAAAGCCAATTAGAGCTTTAAACTAATTTTTTTTTTTTTTGGCACCAGGGATGGAACTCAGGTCCTTCTGCTTGCGAGACAGGTGGTGGCACCACTGAGCTAAATCCCCGGTCTGCTTTAAACTAATTTTGTTTAAATCGTTTTGCTTTTTGACACTCCGAAATATAAACACAAAGGAAAAAAAAAACCTCACCAAAGTAAGTATGTATGACAACATAAAACTTAATCTTTGATATAAAAAACCACCATAAAGCAAAAGGTGAACTACAAACTTAAAATCAGATTGCAACATATATGACATAGACTATATACCTAACATAATCATTTCTTACAGCTCAATTAGAGAAGATATTGTTTGTGTGTGTTTTCAAAGTAGGTGAAAAAACCTGGGTGTGGTGGCACAGGCCTGTAACCCCAGGTCCTTTGGAGGCCGAGGCAGGAAGTTAGAGCATGAGGCCAGCCAGGGCCACTTAGCAAGCTCAAGGCCATCCTGGGACAAACAAACAGGGTGAAAAGTATGGAAAAATAATTTACAAAGGAAATCAAAATTAGACAAACCAACTGTCAGTCTCACTAATATGGTAGTGGAAATTCAAACCATGCTGATGTCTCATTGCTCTCAAAAAGAAAATTTAGGGCTGGGTGTGATGGCACACACCTGTAAATCTAGCACTTGGGGGGTTGAGGCAGGAGGATTGAGAATTGGAGGTCAGCCTGGGCTACATAATGAGTTCATGGCCAGTCTGAACTACTAAGGAGACCCTGTCTCAAAAAACAAACCAAATAAAAAAGGGCCGGGAATTTAGCTCAGTGGTTCTGGCGCCTGCCTCGCAAGTGCAAGGACCCGAGTTTGATCCCTGGTACCAAAAAAAAAAAAAAAAAGAAGAAAAGAAAATTATATTTTAATTTGTCTCCAGTCCAAGTAATTCTACTTCTAGGTCCTTGTCCCTCAAATAAAAGAACTGCACAAATATGTATGTTCAAGGATATTTATTGCAGCAATATTTCTGAAAACAATCTAAAATTCCAACAATGGAGACGGGTTTAAATAAAATATGGAATATTCTACAGCTATTCAAAGTCATTTTTGTAGAATACTCAATGATTTAGGAAATTCTTAGGTTTAAAGTTCAAGGTTAAAAAAGTCCCACAAAAACCAGGATATAAAACTGTACATAGAGGATTCCAAAATTTAAAATATAAGTACATACAGATACATATATACATATACTACAAGTAGAAAAATGAAAAAAATATATAAATGTTAGCACTAGTTATTTCTGTATACTGGGATTAGGAGAGATTTTATTTTTGCATTTGAATTTTTCTGAATCTTTTAATTTCTCACCAAATTAGGTATTACTTTCACATTTAGAAAAATAATAAATAGATGTTAACAAAAATAGTAATACAAAAGTGAGATCAAAAAGGTTCCAAAGATGCAAACATAAACATTGCATATTTTGAACATCCTTTGTTTGATTTATATATGGCTAAATCTTCCAGCTAAAAAGTTTTTACTGCCAGTAGATGTGCTACTAGTATTTTTTCCTTGACTGGATTTGGATACAGGTTCCACCACGACGTACTTGATTTGGAAACCTCCTGCTGTTATTGAAGCATCACTCAGAAACTTCAAGGTCATGACATTTCCTATGGGGGGAGGGGTAAGCAAAGAGCAAAGATGTTACTTCCCTTTGATTTGCTTGACAATTTCAAGACTCATTCTCATAGGAGAATATGAGAAGTCATGAACAAGAATCCCAGAATCCAGAGGTGGATTCTCAAGTTTTAGGGTCTGTGGCTTCAGTGCCAAGTAAAGCATTTTTACATTTTTTTCTCTGTCCCTCCAATCTGTCCTGCAGGAAAATTTGTCTTTTCTGTTTCAAAAGGTTCTTTGGGGTTAAGGGTGTCACTTTTGGGGTTAAGAGTGGTAGAGCACTTGCAAAACATGATGAGGCCCTGGGTTTGATGTCTAGCACTGTAAAACAATGCCAAGGTTCTCTTTGTAGAAGGAATACTCATAAAATCATAGGAGAGCAGCAAGTAGTTCAAACCACTGTGGTGTAGATGGATTCTTTACTAAATTATGGGACCAACAAGCTTTATGTTTGTTAAGAAGCATGTCTAGACCCCCTACTTCATACAGGGTACCTAAATACATTTTGCCTGCATTTAAAGACCAAAATGTGTTAAAAATAAAAAGGAAAAACTTACTGAAGATAAACTGTAAGAATTTTTTTTGTATTTGGGGAGAGGGAAGGCCTTCTTTACTCACAGCCCAAATCCAAAATTCAAAAATAAAGCAAAAAAGTAATCTCTCTCTCTCCTTCCTTCCTTCCTCTTTTCTTTTCTTCATCTATTAACTCATCAATCCCCACAGCAACACTATGAGGTGGATACTCTTAGAAGGTTCATTCTACAAACATGAGCTTGAGGCACAGGGAGACTAGGTGTCATCGCCAAAGCCACAGAGCTAACAGGGCTAGGCTTATTTGATTCCTCCGAGGTAAACTGTCTGTTCTTCTACAGTACTGGGGAATGAGCCCAGAAGTACTCTACCACTGAACTACAACTCCAGCCCTTTTATTTTATTTTGAGACAAGTTCTTGCTAAATTGCCCAGACTGGCTTCAAATTAGGATTCTCCTTGCCACAGCTTTTCAAGTACTGTCGCTGGGATTGCAGGTCTGTGCCAAGTGGCCTGGTTTAAACTATTTTAGACAAAACAAGGAATGTGTTAAATTTCAGACTTCCTTTGGATTCCTGCCCTTTCTTCCCTCTCTGTTTCTGTCTCTCTCTCTCTCTCTGTCTCTGTGTCTCTGTCTCTCTCTCTTTCTCTCTGGTTTTGGTTTTTTGAGACAGAGTCTCATTACAGTTCAGGCTGGCCTCGAACTCACTGTGATCCTCCTGCCTCAGGCATCTAAGTGCCCTATCACACCTGGCTATTTTTAAAAATAGAGTTCTCTGGCCAGGGATTTAGCTCAGTGGTTTCACTGCCTGCTGCGCAAGTGCAAGGACCTGAGTTTGATCCCTCGTACCTAAAAAATAAAAATAAAAATAGGGTTCTCACCCCATTATTTCAGACAGTCAAGTTAGTTAAAAATATTACAGGCAGTCAGACAGGGCTGGGCCCTCAAAGAAGTCAAAGCAGAAGATAAAAACGCATTGCAACTGTGGCTGGAGATGAAACCCATTAGTTAAAGGCCAGACTTCAACACAAAAATGAAATGACTACACATACTTCTCCTAGGGATGAACAGCAGTAATTGATATTCTAAATAGGCATCTATCACCTGGATGGGGAATCAAGACCTTAACCCATCCCTTCCAGGAAAAATGCCTGTTCCTTCCACGTATGTGACTTGCTTCCTCATTTAATTAATACTACCTGAGTGACTGTACTCATAATCATACATAAAATCTTATTAGGTGACTATAGTTTTGTCCCATCTTATACCTGCTTCACCTCGAGGTTTTGCTCTATAAAACTCCCTTGCAGGGAGAAAGGAAGGAAGGGACAAGAAAAAAAAAAAGAAAATAGAAGAAAAAATGGAAACAAAGCTTTTGTACATAGGGAGGGGAGGGGACTTGAGGGGGAGAATAGGATAAAATTAAATTAAATCGAACTTTTAAACAAAAACAAACAAACAAACAAAAGCTCCCTTGAGAACCAGGGTCCATGGGCAATCCACTTTCCAGGCCCCCTTCTGTCTCTCTCAGATAGACGCTATCTATCTCTCAATAAATATTTCCTACTCTTAACCTCTCTTGTTCCTAGGATCCATTATTCAGTTTTAGAGAACATGAACTCGATGTATTGGACATCTGGCAGGTTGAGAGTTATAATATTTCTTTTATATTATTTGGAGGTCCACATGTCACCCCTATATCATAAGCCCTGTATCACCACTACTATCTCTTACAGCTCTAAGGTGGCTTCTTTTTAAACTTTCTGTTAACATACAATAGATTCTCAAGGAAATAAAAAGAATTGAGTGAAAGGTTTAACTGGTCACCTTTGCTGGAAAGGCTATTATAAGGTTTAAGCATTAGTCATTCAAGATAGCACAGAGTTCTATACTATGTAATAAATAACGATAAAAAATTAGAATTGAGTGCACTTCAGGGCTGGGTGTGAGAGTAAATTAACTAGTTGTATCCATTTAAAGACCAAGAATTACAACTCAATGTAACTTTGTTGTGTTTAGTTGCAGAAGTACAATATTATGATAATTTTATCACCTGGGGGCAAAATAGAGAACAGAAGAATGCCAATGTTTGTGCTGATGATGGAAATAAAAGGAAAAAATGAAGACATTTAATAAAATTAAGGTTTACAGCTAGAAAATCTCATTTTGGGATGATTACCAACTACTAGCCCCATCATGCTTGGCTGTAGAACAAGACGCTTTTGGGAAGGGAGAGATTTTGAAGACAGTACCTATTATATCTAGATTTTTAAGCTTTACTATAGAAATTAGCATATTAAAAGTTCCCTGTGGTCTTCCCATAAAGAAACCTGTTAACATTGTTTAACCTAATGTTTCCCAAATTTATTTGACCTAGAATCCTTTTCTTATGTAACACTTATTTAAAATATATCCCAGAACAAGCTGGGTGTGGTGGTTTATACTTGCAATCTCAATACTCGGGAGACTGAGGCAGGAGGATAGTCATGAATTAGGCCAGTCTGTGCTACATAGTGAGTCCAAGGCCAGCCTGGACTACATAAGGAGAACCTGTCTCAAAAAGAAAGAAAGAAACAAAAAACCTCACAAAACACTCTCTGAGGAATGACATTTTAATTTTTTAGTGACAATTTTTTCTTTTTTTTTTGGTCCTGGAGCTTGAATCCGGTACTCTACGACTGAGCTGTATCCCCAGCCCTCCTACCACCGCCAGCCATTTTTTTTGGAGATGGTTGCCTAAGGCTGTCTTCAAACTGGTGGTCCTCCTACCTCAGACTCCCCAGTAGCTGGCATTTCAGGTGTGTGCCACCAGGACTGGCTGTCAGAAGATATTTTAACACCTTTATAACTTCAGCCTCCTATCAACGAACAGTTCTGGCCATTTTATGTATTGTTTTTTGTGGTACTTCAGACTGAACTCAGGGCCTGCTGTGTGCTAGGTAAACACTCAGTCGTGGAGCTACAGTCTAGCTCTTTAAATTTTTTTTTTTTTGAGACAGGATCTCACTAAATTGCCCAGGCTGGACTGGAATTTGCTATCTTCCTGCCTCAGCCTCTTAAGTAGCTGGGATTACAGGTGTGCATCACCATGCCCAGTTTATTTTATGATTTTTATTTTTTATGGCACTTGGAATGTAGGGATGGCCCTAGGGCCTTGTGCACGCTAGGCACATGCTCTCCCCCTGGGCTACACCTCACTGTAGCCATTTACTACATTTCCTGGAGACCCTGAGCACAGCATTACTTTCGGATGTGCAGATCCGAGATGCTCATCCATTTCCTGCATACAAGGAGGGTCTGTCCATAGCTAGTTTGAGGACTTGGCATAAACCCTGCAGTACAGATGAAGAATTCTCAGTATTTTACAAGCTAACAAGGGACATCTAGCCTTAGTTCTCGACTTTTAAAAAATGAATGATAATCAAGAGAATCCTGGTGAGCAGGAGGTCCTCACTCTGGGGGGAGGGGAGTGCTGTGAGAAAACAAATTCAATTTTTGTTCCTCCATTTGGAGGCTTACCTGTGCTGATGATGTCTTCAGGAAGTTCATCCCCACAATATCTGAAAGGAAATTTGTAGAAAAGAGAGGTTACAGGAAAGATATTATACAACTCTTCAAGTGGATCCGACTGATAGTAAAATGCTTTATTTCTTTTAAGTAATGACCCATTTTTCTACTCTTTTAAAAGTTTTTTTAACTTGGATTTATATGGAAGAAGAGTTGAAACAAATTCAGTATTAGACTTTTAAGAGTAGATTTCTGACATTTCTACTTTGTGTACCAAAAAACACATTTGTATAGTAGATAATTTAACTTACTTGGACATATAAAAATTTATTTTTTATTTATTTCATAGTTTTCCTCATGGATAAAGAAAAATGGGTGTATGCTTGATAGTATTAATATATTAAATTCTTTTTTTTTTTTTTGGTACTGGGGATGGAACTCAGGTCCTTGGCTTTCGAGGCAGGTGGCGGAACCACTGAGCTAAATCCCCAGCCCTAATATATTAAATTCTAAGATTGATTTAAACTTAAAAAAAATGTCAGAAGACCTTTGATTGTCTTTTCTGAATCATGACAATTCAGAATATAAAAACAAAGATTTTGTAAGTTTCTCAACATATAATTCATTTTAAAGAAGGTAAAAGTTACAAAGGAAAACTATGTAATATAAATCTAATAAATAGGGCTGGGGATTTAGCTCAGTGGTGCTGAGCCTGCCTCACAAACATAAGGTCGAGTTTGATCCCTTGTACTAAAAAAAAAAAAAAAAATCTAATAAATAACAAATTAGCCTGGTGAAACTTTCTAAAAATAATAGTTTATCATTTTGTCTAGGGCTGTAACTGATTTCAGAAATTAGGTTTAGAATAAAAATGTCATCTTAATTCCCAAGGTAGGAGGCACTTCCTTAAAAAAAAAAAAAAATTGGGCCCGGGATTTAGCTCAGTTTTTCCACTCCCTGCCTTGCAAGCGCAAGGTCCTGAGTTTGATCCCTGGTACCTAAATAAATAAATAAATAAATAAATAAACAAACTCATTTGTCATTCCTTCAACCCTACTTCATGTCTTCTTCAATATATTTTAGAGAACTATTTACATTTTTTATAGCAGTTTATAAGCCAAAGAACAAAACAAAACAAAAAAATTGCCATTTATGTGTGTAAGAAATACCTATTTTTCTTTGTGTTTCAGTTACACATTTCAAAATCTACATAAATGTTTGGCACGGCAGTGCACACCTGTAATCCCAGCACTCAGGAGGCTGAGGCATGAGGATAGCCATGAGTTCGAGGGCAGCCTGGGTAAACAGTGAGTTCAAGTCCAGCTCAAAGTACATAGTGAGAACCTATCTCAAACAAAATAAACAGACAAAAAAGAATATATTCAGACAACCAGGCATGGTGGTGCATGCCTGTAATCCTAGCACTTGGGAGGCTGAGGCAGGAGGATCGAGGATTGCAAATCTGAGGGCAGCTTGGGCTACATAGTGAGTCCCTGTCTCAAAACATCTTTAAAAACAAAAGATATCTATTGTATATTTAGCTAAATTGTGTGAGAGAAAGGGCTATACATTGCTAATTCATCTTGCATCCATGACACCTAGCACAATACTTTTTACAAAGGTGAGAGGCATCAATTGCTGAATTTATAGTCATGTTTAGGAGGTTAACAGAAAGTAGACCAGTTACGAACCCCAATAAACTTTTCAACTTACATTTCAACTATCTTTAGTCAAATCCTGAGTTTTTTAAGAATTCTTCCAACTTTAACAATAATCAAAATACAGCTATAACTACTTTAACAAGTGCATTTAACAGCCAACTAACAAAAATCACTGTTGCGAAGGATGTGATATGTTGACAAATGGTAGAAACAGTGGAAAATCAATATTTTAGAGACAAAAAAAGAAATATTCGAGGGACAGTTGGGAGAAAACTAATTAAAGAAGCATCATTAATTAACTTCCTGTATTAAACAACATGTACCTTCCAACAAATCCATGGACATCATCATAACTGTCATATATTTCAACATAGTCAGCCAAGCAACCTGGGTCATCTTCAAGGTCAAAGTCCAAAAAGCTCAGGTGAATACGCTGACCATACTTGAGTCTAATGTGCCAATAGCAGATCTGGTTATCCTCATACTCATTTGGGAAGCCTGGAGATTTAAAGATTCGCTTTGGCTCTGTAAAGACACCACCACACTCTTTTGCTGAAATGGAAAGAAAGAGAGGGAAAGCAAAATGTTAGGAAAATAATTATCTTTATTTAAAAATTATATCCACATCTTAGACATATGAAACACTAACGAAATGGTTTGATATACAGCATTTGTATATTATATATGCATATAGCTAAAGAAGAATTATATATTTTCATTAATAATTTCTAAATTCTCTTGACTAGAAAACTTTTTTTTTTGTACCAGGGATCAAACTCGGGTCCTTGCACTTGCTCAGCAGGCAACAAAACCACTGACCTGGCTAATTTCTAAATTCTCTAAAATAAACATGGACAATCTGTGAATTTTCTTTTTTGAGATAGTCTCACCATGGTGCCCAGGATGGTCTTGAACTCACTGGTTTAAGCAATCCTCCCACCTTACTCTGCTGAGTAGCTAGTACAGGCATGTGCCCCATGCCAGGCTTATTTGTGAATTTTTAAAGAATAAAAATAACAAGAAACCATGTGTTTATATTTCCATGTTACCAGCATCCTAATTAAGATGGTAGGGAAGGGCTGGGGATGTAGTTCATTGGTAGAGCTCATGCTTAGCAGGCATGATGCCCTGATTCCCAGCACTGAAAGAAGAAGAAGAAGAAAAAAAGATGGTAGGGATTTTCTACTTTGGTATCACCATGTCTTCAGGGACTTACCTAGGACAATGAATCCCATAAATTCTATTTACAATATCATTACAGAATTCTAGGATCATAAGGTACCTTAAAAATCACTCTAATTTATAAAGGGAATAGTTTATAGTCATTCTATACATTTTTAAACTTTATTTATATTTTCAGTGCTGGGGATTGAATCCAAGATCTCATGCATGCTAAACGTGGGCTCTACCACTAGTTTTACCTGCAGTCCTAATTCTGTACTATACTAGTTTTCGACTAACATTCAAAGACTGATACTTCAGGATTTGCTGGAGATATTTATGTTTCTTGTTTTCCAAGACATTCATTTTATAAATTTCAGTTTGTCATATAACCTGTTGTAAGAAATAGAAGTGCACAAAATTACAAATAAAAATCTCTGCCAGCACCAGGGGTTTGCAATATGGCTGGGAGGAAAAGCTGTGGAGGGGTCCCAGTCACTTACAATTTCCTATCTGTTAGTAAATGTCTAGTGTCTGGAAAAAGGTAGAACCTGGAAACTAAAAAAAAAAAAAAAAAAAAAAAGCACATGTGGTGGGGGTGGTGACTCTGGGTAGCATTTCAAGACTTTTTAAAAAATTATATTAATCAGAGCTTTTTCCAAAGTTATTCTCCTTTAAGATACCTGTTTCTGTTGGATATGGTGGCTCACTCCTATAACTCCACCATTCTGGGAAGCCATGGCAGGAAGATTGCAAGTTCAAGCCCAACCCGGGCAACCTTATAATTTAGTGAGACCCTGGCTCAAAATCTGAAAAAGGGCAGAGGATGTAGCTTAGTGCTAAGATCCTGGGTTCAATCCCCAGTACTGCAAAACAAAACAAAAACCCCTATTAAAAAAAACTGTGTTGGCCAGGGGATTTAACTCAGTGGTTCCAGCGCCTGCCTCAAAAGCGCAAGGTCCCGAGTTTGATCTCCGGTACCAAAACATACACATACACACACACACACACACAAACTGTGTCAGAATGTTTAATGCTGTAGAAGTTAAGGAAACTTATTTCTTGAAGGCTAAATAGCATCTTGAAAGGCTGTGAAGCAGTAGGAGAAAGTAAAGCATAGTTGAAGCTCTGTGACCATCCTATTTCTCATTTTCTTCATTGGTAAAACAAATACAACCATGCCCATCTCACAGGGTTATTCTGAGAATAAAATATTGAAGCAAATATAAACTAGTGTTATTGTATAATGAGTTATTACATGAGACATAATTTGTATGTATTCATAACAATGTTATTATCAGCTTTTGAAGTGACTTGCATTGTCCTATAGAATTCTATCTTCGGTGTATATATCATTAGGGAAAAGAATTCAAATGCTAAACTAGAGCTGGGAATAGTGGTGATGCCTGTAATTCCAGCACTCAGGAGGCTAAGGCAGATGAATTGCTGCAAGTTCTGGGACAGCCTGGGCTACACAGTGAGTTCGTGGCCAGCCTGAACTACATAGTGAGATCCTTTCTCAAAAAAGAAAATAAAAAGCTGAAGTAATTTTGGCACTCATTTAATTATATGTAATTATATCTATTCAGCTCTATATTTTATGGTAATACAGTCATTGCTTTATGTATTCCTTTTTTTTTTTTTTTGGTACCAGGGATCGAACTCAGGACCTTGCACTTGAGAGGCAGGTGCCTGAACCACTGAGCTAAATCCCTGGCCCTATGTATTCCCTATTTATTTACTTTTTTGAGACAGAGTCTCACTGTGTATGTAGTTCAGGCTGTCCACGGACTCACTATGTTGCCCATACTGACCTTCAATTCATGGTGATCCTCCTGCCTCAGCTTCTCAAGTGCTGGTATTATAGGCATGCACTACCACTCCTAGTATGTATTCCTTATTTTATTTTAATTTTAATTTTTTGGTACCAGGGATCGAACTCGGGACCTTGCGGTTGCGTGGCAGGCGCCAGAACTACTGAGCTAAATCCCCAGCCCTGTATTCCTCATTTTAAAAAATGACAGATTCACAACCTGACTAGGCTTCTGAGAATTGTTAATTGGTTAAAAAACATTCATACCCAAGGGCAGTCAATGTCATGGCACATATTCCAAACTTGAAAAGAGCAACTTTACTTCTTTTGGTTTTGTTTTTTTGGTACTGGGGGATTGAACTCGGGACCTTGTGCTTGCAAGGCAGGTGCCAGAACCACTGAGCTAAATCCCCGGCCCTCAACTTTACTTCTTAACACTTAATGACCCTTTCTTTCTTATTTCAATCACCTCCAAGTTAATAATATTGGCTAGCAATGATTGCTTTATTTTCTGATGTTGTTATGACTGCTTCTCATTCCAACTAGGTTTTGGTGGACTGTTCTACAGTTCACTGCATCCTTCCAATACACCACAACCTAAGTACATAATCAGCCACCACTAAATCTCAAAGTAAGCTAAGTATGTTGAGAATTGAGTAAGAGCAAGTCTCCTAGGATTCTGTACAAATATTCCCAGAATAAATAGTACCCAGCCTTTCTGAGAAAAGGAAGTAACTATTGAAAACTAGTAGGTTAAGATTGCATTCTTATAAAAGGATGCTAAAAAAACTATGAGGAGACTTTCATTAGCATGTCTTCATTTACCCTACACTTTGATCTATGGAAAGGATTGCACAGGAGCTCATAGGTTCTACCATTTATCAAGCAGAAGAGGAACCAGAATGTATTTGGAATGACAAGTAGCTCTTGAGAGTAAAAAGGGAATCGCCTGTACAAATATACCAAAGAAAAAGAAAGGAAAGAACAGGTGGAAGGAAGCTTTATAATTATTAACGACTAAATATACAGTGGTATAGTACTATCTAGAACTAAATAGGCCTAACATATATTAGAAAACTGGTTTGGAAGTTACAGTCGTATATTTTGTTTGTTTCTTTCTTTTTCTTTTTCTTGGTTTTTTTTTTTTTTGGTTTTGGGACTCAGACTCAGGTCCTGTACTGCTGAGCTACATTCCCAGGCCCTGTATGTTTTAAATGGCACTAGAAGATAGTGCTGGGCAAAATTCTTTCTACTTGAAATACACATAATTCTGAGATATAGGTTAGTTATGGACCTGAAAGATTGTCCTCCAATAACTATTATTATTATTATTATTTTTTGTTGTTGTTGTTACCAGGGATCAAACTCGGGTCTTTGTGCTTGCGAGGCAGGCTCTGGAAGCACTGAACTAAATCCCCGGCCCATAACTAGTATTATTAAATAATAAATTCTGTAAAAGAATGCTAGAATTTCATTGTTTTCCACTATGTTATAGGACTCCTTTTCCTTCCTCCCTCCCTCCCTCCCTCCCTCCCTCCCTTCCTTCTTTTCTCTCTTTCTCTCTCTTTCTCTCTTTTTTCTTCCTTTCTATCATTCTTTCTTTCTTCTTTGCGATAGTGGGGATCAAACTCAGCGTTTTCACCCCGAGCTACGTCCCCAGCCCTATTTTATTTTTTATTTTGAGAAAAGTTCTCCCTAAATCACCAAAACCGCAGAGCTCAAAACTACAATACTCTTTCCTTAGCCTCCCAGAGTGACCAGAGGGATAGCAGTGTGCTACCACACCCAGCTAGAATTTCTATAAGGTAGATCCAAATGGATACTACTTGAAGGTTCAAGATCATAAATGCCAAAATGATTTGTAACACATTATATAACACTTTGTAACACTGTTATGCAGAATATATGCAAATAGAAGAGTATTTTTTTCCTCTGAGAACGTGAACAAAGAGCAACTCTTTATAGTAATGAGTTTTCCCATTAAATATTTCAAGGAGCTGTGGAAAAATATGAATAGATATAACTGTTTAAAGAGAACTAGTCCAGCACTGAGGCAGGCTGAAGCAAGCTTGGTCCCACCTGGGCCACTTAGGGAAGTCCTATCTCAAAAAGCAAGAAAGACTGGGGACATAACTCAATGGGAGCTTGCCCCTGGGTTGCATCCCCAGTACTACAAAACAAAAACAAAAACTAGTATATGCAGAATATAATTGTCCATATCTTTTTTTTTTTTGGGTACCGGGGATTGAACTCAGGACTTTGCACTTGCAAGGCAGGCGCGGTGCCACTGAGGTAAATCCCCAGCCCAGTTGTCAAACCACAAAATGAGAGTTACCTTGTTTGGAACTCTAAGCATTTATATGTAAAAATAAATTAGGGAGTTTGTTTATTTTGTCTCATTTTCCTCATTCTATCAAAGGGGTAATTTTGAACAGTTAACATTTGGAGGGCAAGGGATGTAGCTCAGTGGTTCCACCGCCTGCCTCGCAAGCGCAAGGATCTGACTTTGATCCCCTATACCAAAACAAAACAAACATTTGGTCGCATCACTTTCTTGCTTCAGCTAATTAACCATGATAGATTTATAATGCATGCGTGTGTATTTCCCTCTTTGGGGCAGGAGGTTCCCTGGCACAGAAGTGAATTCTTATCCTGCCTGGCTACTAATTATTGGCTGTCTGATTCAGGGTAAGCTATTTAATTTCAGACTCCTGATTACTAATCTAGTTATAAATAGTTCCTGGTAAAGCTGAGAATATTAAGTGAGAGTGGAGGTGGGGAAACATAACCCAGTATCAGATTTTTTTTATTGTTCATAATTATCATTACCAAATTCGATTCTTTCAGGAAGAAGAATCAAACTCTCTCTTTCTCACTAAGGATTGAACCCAGGGCCCTCATATTGGGCTTCATCCCCAACTCTTTAAAAAAAGCTTTTGTTGGGCTGGGGATTTAGCTCAGTGGTTTCCCCGCCTACTGCACAAGTGCAAGGACCCGAGTTCAATCCCAGGTACAAAAAAAAAAAAAAAAGCTTTTGTTTTTGCAATTTTGAGGCAAGGTCTCACTAAGCTGTTAGGTTGCCCAAGTTGGGCTTGAACTTGTGACCCTCCTGCCACAGCCTTTGAAACACTGGGCTTACGGTTGTGCACCACCATGCCCAGCCATCGATTTATTTTTAGCAACTTCTTAGTAGCCCATAACTGTTTTGTTGTGGTTTTTCTTTTGTGTGTGTGTAACTCTTTTTATAAAGCATTACATTATTATTTTTAACAAACCATGTGGGTTGTAGCAGTATGCATCCCATCTTTCACTCCTGTTGAGACGGACTCCATAATCAATAACACCGATTTTCCCAAATCCGCAGTTGGGCCCTGGCTTCACAATGGGGTACCCAACTCTGCCCTTGGCCATCCACCCTGCAGCACAGACGTGGAACCCTGCAAGAGGAGAGAAAGTTGAGGTGGTGACTGACTGGGAAAGGCCATTAACCAAGACCGTCACTGCCAGCAGCTTCTCAGCTGTCCAGAGCCAGTTCATGTAAGGTGGGAGGAAAACAACTTCCTTAAAAAAGAGGAAGGAATACACATAATATATAACTTGTGGCTTTTACTAGAAAGTGGTCCTACTTAAAATAAAGGATGTAGATGGACTAGAGATCATAATGTAGATATAAAACCAATCCAATTTCAGAGCTATCTTCTCTTCACAAATGGTCTATTAGTATGTGATAATTTCTGAAATAACTGAATTCTGGAAAAAAAAATCCTTTTCAAGTGGTAATCTAATTCATTTCTATTTCAGAATCAATTAAAATGTCAGTAATATTTTGAAGATTTGAGCTGGGTGTAGTAGCACACACCTGTAATCTCAGCACTCAGGAGGCTAAGGCAGGAGAATTGTGAATTCAAAGACAGGTTGGGTTACATAGTGAGTTTAAGACCAGCCTGAACTACACAGAGACTCTGCCTAAAAAAAAAAAAAAAAAATTAAAGATTTTAGTAAGAGCGAGTTGTGGTGGCATACTCCTATAATCCCAGCACTTTGGAAGGCTGAGGCAGGAAGATCATGATTTTTGAGGCTAGCCTAGCCTACATAAAGTATTCAAGACCATCCTGGGCTATATAATAAGACCCTGTCTCAACAAATAACAAACAAGATTTGAATGAGGATCAATTCTCTCATAAATGTCAAACAAAGGCTCAGCTTCTTTTTCTTGTTCAGCTTCACAGGCTGTTTTGGTATCTGGTGGTACCATGCAAGAGTGATTTTGTGCATGCGTGCGTGCATGCGTGCGTGTGTGTGTGTTACTACAGGTCAGACCTAGAGTTTTTGCCCTAAGCTACATCCCTAGCCCTTCTTTATTTTTTTATTTTGAGACAGGTTCTCACTAAATCATTAAATTGCTTAGGCTGAACTTGAACTTGTGATCCTCTTCTAATCAACCTCCCAGGGTTCTGGGGTTACAGGTATGTGGCACTACACCTGGCTAGAAGAACAATTTTACTAAAGGCCCAGGACTCCAGAACTGCTGCTAAAGACTCTGACCTTGGCATCAATCATTCCACTCACAGACCTGTGATTACAGATGAGCAGTTGGGATGTTTGAGAGAGTACAGTACCTTATGCTCTACTCTACATGTTTACATGTTCTGCATCTGTGCATTCAACCAATGAGGGAGATATATACATATATATATTATACATACATATATACTTTACATATATATATATTTTAAAAATTGCATCTGAGCTCAGCAGGATGGCAAGCTTGTAGATGGCTCATATCAAACTATGATGCCAGATTCTGGTGTCCGTGGGCATCCTGAGCCACCCCACTGATTACCCCACTGATAATGCAGAACAACTGTGCAGAACAACTGTTTGTCCTGGGTAATGCACCACAGTAGCATAAGCTTTGCCAGGTGTTTTCTGTCAACAAAGGCACTCGTGTGGGAGTGGTCCACTCTCCTGAGAGCCTGGGACAGATGCCAACAGCCCATTTTTGTGTAAAGAAACAAGTTGTTCCATCTGGTTAATTACTGTGGTTTTCAGATTTGCTGACATTATCTTCTTAGCTTCTTTCTCTTGCCGTCTTATAACCTAATTATCCCTTTCCTGAGTTTTTTGTTTTGCTTTATTTTGTTTTGTTTTGTTCTGTTTTTGAGACAGGTCTCACTATGTAGCTCAGAATGGCCTTGAACTCAGGATCCTCCTGCCTCATCCTCTTGAGCATGGGATAATAAGAATGTGCCATCACTCCCAGGTCCCTCACAATGTTTGATATTGGGAAAAAGCCGGGTGTGGTGGCACATTCCTGAAATCCCAGAACTTGGGAGACTGAGGCAGGAGGATCACTATGAGTTTGTAGCTTGGCTACATAGTGAGTTCAAAGCCTGGAACTACCTAGCAAGACCCTGTAAAAAATATATATATAATTTATATAATATATATTATATATATGTTTTATATTTATTGGGAAAAAGTTTCTAAATTTACTATTTCTCATGCCAGGGAAATTTCTGCATAAAACTCAACACACTAGCATCATTTAATAGCTGAGTTAATGTATGCTAAGGAGTCAGGGATGGAACAATATTAAAAATGAATGAAAATTGCATTGAAGTTAATGAGAAATTGACATCCATGATACTGACATAATAAGGTCTTTTTCTTTGTATTTCTCGGTGGATTGTGACTCCCAGATATGATGCTAGTACTAGAACCTTTCTGGCTCTAGGTAGAAGGCTATGGAAGAAGCCAGAGAGCAAAGATGTCATAGGGGCTTAGAGCACTATCCAAAAGGGCTAGAGAGAGGAATCTTATTAAAGAGTATAGGAAAGGTAGAGTTCCCCGACCCCATGCTCCAAGGCTTAAAAAGTAGAAAAATCATTGTCAAGTCAGTTACCAATTTTTCTAGCTGCTTCTAGCTGCTTGTAGGTGGCGAGACGGCCACCTTCAAATTCACACACCGCCTTAGCTTCTGCATAGGTGAGCTTGTATTTGCCAGACCGTGCTTCTCTGTGGTACACACCAGCTGCTTGTTCTGTGAAACCACAAAAATGTCGTCAATGCACCATTATACATTCTTGGGGAACAAGGGAAATTTTGCCTCAGCTGGAAGATTGCATCAACTGTTGCTCCTGCCAAAGAATTGTCTAGGTCAGCTGCCAGGGTGGCTAAAGTTTTCATTGTTAGAAAGCTTTAGAAAAAATATGAATGAGGGGACTTTTAGGGGAATTTTGGGGGCACAGACAAAAATTTGAGGCTATTATGTTTCTACCATGGTAGTCTGAAAGAAAGTTTTTAATACAACATTGTATTTCTATATTAACCTCAAGTGATAACTTTTGGATTTCTTTTGACTTTAATAAAGTCACAAAACTTGGAAGGGTAAGCAATAGGGGGAAAATGAGTTGAAGGCAAAAGAAACCAATGAAAATGAGATATTATGTAGACTCACAGTGATGAAGAAAATTAAGCCAACATATTCATTTGAGGGAAATGACTAATATAATTGAGAAATTAGTAAATAAATAAAAAACTGCAGAAAAGTCTCAAGGAGTCCAAAGCAAACAATTACCACATCAAGAAAAAGAAAAAGAAAAAAAAAAAACAGAAAAAGAAAGATTAAAACACAGCAGAGAAAAAAATGGCACACCTAACTTGCAGTTAGTGCATAACTTCTTTATTTGATTTTTCTTTTTTAGTTCACATGCTATTCCCAACATATTTTAGGCAGTGATAAGTCATCTATGAGTTGTTTGCCAATAGATCACTGTCTAAATGGGTTATTTTGGTTTAGAGTGCCTTCTGCCATAGAAACCATGCGAAGAGATTCCCAGGACAATTGTCATAGGTTAGCTCTAATGATTAGCTCTAATAGCTCTACATAGCCTGCCAGATTATGGTTAAGTACTTGTACCAGAAACTATGCAGTCAGCCACCACTGAGACTATTTTCAGTGAGAATGCATATTTTTTTGGATGCAGTAAGCCACAAATCCAGTGGATTAGGAACAATTCTAATTCAGGCTGGGTGCAGTGGTGCACATTTCAGCTACTTGGGAGGCTGAGGCATAAGTAGTGCAAGTTTGAGGCCAGCCTGAGTAACTTAGCAAGATCTTGTTTCAACAATACAAAATAAAAAGGGGCATGGACAAAGCTTAGTGGTAGAGCATACCTGGATTCAATTCCTGGTACTGGGAGGAAAATTCTAACTCAGTTCTTTGTTCTCTGCCTCAGTCTGGTTTAAGGTTGGCACTGCCACAGTTCAGTGGGCTATGGAGCTGAGCATTTCCCTAATTTTCTGGACTTCAAGGGTTCCTGCTCTTGTACATTATCACTTTTACACACAGAAGGCCTTAGGCAATTTGATGCTCAAAGATCAAAGAATGTCAGTAACATCAAATCGTAACTGGTCAAGGTGTCTTCTTTGAAGACTGCCTGTTTTCCAAGTGTCCTTCACATGGCAAAGCCTCAGCAAACCTTTACTACCTTCCGATTTGTCTGTGTGTGGGGGGGTTGTTTTCAGTACTGAGGATTAAACCAAGGCCTTTGTACTTTGCTCCATCCACAGCCCCTTTTTATTTTATATTTTGAGACAGGGACTCACTGAGTTGTTAAATTATGCAGGTTAGGCTTGAACTTGTGATCCTCCTGCCTCAGCCTCCCAGGGTGCTGGGATTACAGACGTGTGCCACCACGCTGGGTTCCAATTTGGTTATTTTGAGCATATACTATGAGGCATTTTGCTAGGCTCCGTAGGCCCTGATCCCAAAGAACTTGGATACTAGTGGGCAAAACACATGTCTTTATCTTGAGTTAAACACAAAAGATTTTTGGTAATAAAAGGAGGTAGGATTGACTCGCTTATGTACTGTAATAAAAGGCTTAATTTTAAAAAATGTTATGTTTGTATGTTTCATAAGAATATAATATAAATATCTTTATTTGAAAATAAATGTAGGAATTATTTTAATGTATTCCAAAGTTTCCTCAAATGAATTTCCTTGGTATTTTACTACAAATTTTTTTCTTTGAGAAAGGGTCTCACTCTGTAGTTTACGCTATCCTTGAGCTCACTATGTAGCCCAGGCTGGACTCAAACTCACAGTAATTCTGAGTGCTAGGATTACAGGCATGTGCCACCATGCCTGGCCTACAAATAGAAATATTATGTTTGTAGGAAAAAATGAAGAGAAAGATTTTTAGAAAATAATTTAAAAATTTCCTCCCAGTAATAAAAAAAAAATTGGCACTTGCTGATACTTGTCAAGAAATAAGACAGCAATAGAAACAGCAAAAATTTATGTGCTATCATTTTTAATTTATTCAATATTAATATTCCACATTATTTCTCACAGAGCACCAAACTTAACAGCATCTTGCTTTATGAACAAGTTGAGAACTCTTGGCATGTATACTTGACAGTTTTAAGCAAGGCATTTATTTATTTATTTTTGTTCTTTTTAAAGACAGGGTCTTGCCCTGTATTTAGGCTGGCCTTGAACTCACTATGTAGCCCAGAAAGGCCTTGAAGTAGTGGTGATCCTCCTGCCTCAGCCTCCAGAGCAAGACATTTATTTTAAAGTATTCTTCAATTCACAATTTTAAGCTATTAAAATGGACTTTTAAAAAATAAATCCTAATTTTATTTATTTACTTATTCATTCATCCATTTATTCATTTATTCATTTATCTGTTATGTTGCCCAGGCTGATGTTGAACTTGGGGACTCAAGTCACCTCCTGCCTTAGCCTCCTGAATAGCAGCGACTGTAGGCCTGGGCCACCCTGGCCAGCTAAATCTTAATTTTAAGTTTTACCTTTCAGAAGACATATTATTTTATTACTTCCCTAGTCAGTAATCTTTTTTTAAAATTGAAAATTTGATTAATTTTGTTTTTCTTTCAGCAAGTGGCCACAGAAAAATGTTGGCTCTGATCTCCGCTGCTGGTTCTACCATGGAGGAGCCCTACACAACCTTGGATAAATCGCCTCCTGAGCCTCAGTTTCTTTATCTAACACATGGGAGTAATGAGAGATTCTGGGCCTCAGAATATGTTATTTTTCCTTGTTTTTCAGATTCAATTAAATGGCCAAAGAGAAATGTTATCTGTGTGCTTTTAATTTTCATGACCCATGTAAAATTAATCAAAATCTTTTGTGCTTTAGTGTGTTTCTGTTTGTTCTGTTTTAAATTACTATTTAAGGAACTAGAGGATACCAGAGTTAAAGTATCCTGTTCAGTATATTGCTAACACATTCCTGCCTTCTAATCTAATTCTCTTTCTTCCCTGAAGTTTCTAATATTATGTTGATCCAACCTACTAAACAATCTGTGTTAAGCTGAGTGGTCAATAATTTTTCCCAGATCCAAGTACTCTGCAGTTCTCCTGAGCCTCAGATTTGCAGCATAGTATTGACAAAGATTTGAATTTGCTCCTTTCTGCCTCTGGGTCAGAACTTCTGTTGTCCAGGTTTATATTTTTGTAACCTACCACTTCACTTAAAAAGACAACTTGAAATTACTTGCTTACTAGAGAGTTTGGTACCATTTTAAAGTTTAACCATATGGCTTTATGCCTTTCTTTCTTCTCTATTTTTTTTTTTGGTACCGGGGATTGAACTCAGGACTTTGTGCTTGCAAGGCTGGCGTGGTGCCACTGAGCTAAATCCTGAGAACCTATGCCTTTCTTTTTTCATTTCTTACTAAGATGTGTATATTTCCTCAGCCTGATTGTGTGCAATGAAAATAAGAAGGGATTTATTCATTCTTTTACTAAATTCCAGACCTCATCTTGACCAAATGAATCTCACTGAAACTAGTTCACTGGCTCAAGCTGGGAAAAAAAAAAAAAACAAAAATGCGGCAAAGCTGTGCAGTACTAATCGGGCTTTTTAATGAAACCAGCATGGTTGCAGTTATTACCAGAAAGAAACATGCAGAAGGGGAAAATAGTCTACATTCATGTTCTGCTTTGCAAGCATAAAACTAACATGTAGGTTCATTTTGCTTTGTCTTTATTTCTTTATTCTGTAAAAGAATCTGTTGATTTTTCACAAAGTAATTTAATTTTTCCCTATTAAACATGACAATGAACATAAAACATTATGAATTCATATTTTAAGAATTAAAGTATTGCTAGAGTACTATAAGGGGTGTTTTGTGTTTTCCGTATTTTGGGTTGTCTTTTGGGGGGGGGTCTATTGTCTATCTTCACAATTTGCCCTTTATTATTCCTAACATTTAACAAAACAACAAAAGAAACTTTCCTTGTCTAGTAATTTTTAGAAAAGTATTGTATGTTAGAAAAGTATTTATATGGATAGCACCACAAAAAGATAGTGATAAGAATGCATTCAAAAGTAGTTTTCTGCTCTGTCAAAATAAAGGATATTTGGAAAAACTAACACACACGGTATAGCTCAGAGTACATAAATCAGTTACTGTAAAAGTTCTATACATCTCAATTTCTCTGAAATCTGCCTACAGATTCAATTGAAATAAAAAGCAACTAATATATTGGAGTTTTTAGTTTGTTAAAGAAACACTCTTTACTATGCTACTAAATATACTTTGAAGATTTTTAAAATACATTTTCATTATGCTTATAGATCTTAACTGCTATTTTTTTTGTTTGTTTTTGTTGGGTTTTTTTTGGTACTGGGGCTCTAACTCGGGACCTTGTGATTGCAAGGCAGGCGGCGGAACCACTGAGCTAAATCCCCAGCCCTTAACTACATTTAAAAAAAAAAAATCATTTTATTGCTACATTTTAGGTATACAATATAATGACATTCATCACTGGAGATTTGTACCTTTACATAATATATCTTTTTGTTGTTGTTGTTGTTGTTTTGACGCCCGGCGAGGACAACGCGCCCCCCACCCCAGAGAGGGCGGGAGGACGAGCTTCCTTTTCCTCCCTAACCGACTCAACCCCCCCAGCGGTCGCCGGCAGTGCCGGGCGACCAGCAGGCAGGGGGTGACGCCACCGACAAGGGCGACCCAGACGGGAAGCACTGGGGACGCGGGAACGACGCCACCGCTCGGCCTCGGGCACGTGGATGGACGACCCAGAGCGCACCGGGAGCACCCTCAGAGGGCCGAGGCACACTGCTCGCGCGCCACCAAGAGGACACGCGGCGGGTGGCGGGGCGGCCCTCCCCGCCGCGGAGAGGGCAACGCCCGCGCGCGGCAAGCCGCCGCCAAGGACGCCGACACCCCGAGCCCCGGAGGCCACCGGGCCGAGGGGAGGGGAGCGGAGGGAAGGGGAGCGCGAGAGGTCGGGCCGGATTCCGCACCCCTGCCTTCCCCCCATCACCAAAGGGCGTGGCGGACAGGCGAGGGGCCCACGGACAGGACCGGGACGGGAAGAGCGGTCCCATTGGCCGGGAACGTCCGCCCCTCGCCTGGCCTGGCGCAGCGTCGGCCCGCCCGGAGAGCACTCACACTCCACCTCGGTTTTACATAATCTCTCTTGGTTATTATCTTTCCCCCATTCCCCTGCACTCCCTTCAACCCCTCCACTTCTGTTTACAAAGAGTTTGTTTCCATTACTAACTGCTATTTTCTATTGAACAACTCATTTTATTAAACTCTATTTTTAAATTTTAGAAAGCAAGAGCACTTTAAGAAGAGAAATTGCATTTCAGCGGCTATCTTTCCTAAGCATTTTCTTTGAAAACATCAGCCTTCAACAGATTAAAAATTTTTACTGCTTTAACCCCCTCTTCCGTGTTTTTAAAGGCTTGACATTCCCAGAAAGAAGCCCATGAGGGATGTTTCTTACCAAGCCATATGGAGTTGTGGAAAATCCCATCCTTGAATCCCCATCCTCGAGCCTGGTCCCACAGCAAGAGAAATAAGTAAGTTAAGATGATCATAGCTTCAGCTGCAGCGAAGTTATCGGGCTGTCAGGGGCTGCTCCCAGTTAAATTCTCTCAGCGGCTGAAATGTGACTGAAACATCTGGTTTCCACATCTTTCTTAAATAGTTTTTTTTAGTTGTGAGGTCAGTGTGTATTCTCCAATGGCATTTTCTGTTGTAGAATTACACAAATAACTCAATATCTGAGCAAATCCTCTGACTCATTTGCATTGGGAACCCGAAGTGGGGATATAAAATGATCATCTATGTTAAAAATTCACATACTCAGAAAGGAGCTCATTTTTTCTGTTAGTCACAAGCACTTTCCTATTGGAAAGTGTGTGTAACTTGGCACAGATTCAAGCGATGATTAAAAGAAAGCCAAACTGCAGTAGGAATTTTAAGAGAAATCCCAAATGTCTTATTTGCATTCTCAATTAGGGGGTATAGGGTTTGGGATTAAGCACTAATCTTTAATTTGACTCTGGTAATTTTACATTAGTTTTCCCTAAACATTGCCAACCCTGTGTAGAGATTTTTAAACAAAGTGTGCATAGCTTGGCCACATACGACTTCTTTATTCTCTGTCTGCATTTGTCTTGGAGTAAGTTCTGTTGAAAACTTTGGCTTGCCATCAGCAGATAAATAAATATATCAGCTTCCCCCAAATTTGGGAGCCTTAGGATATTTGTGCAGCTTTGGAGTATCCTCTTATGGCACAGATCTCTGTGAGTCACTATCTTTGAAGTGCTGGGAGAAAAGAGGGTAGGTAGTAGTAAAGGTAACAAAAACATGGTTCTAGCTTCCCTAGATCACTTTCACTTTTAAGATGATCAAAATAGTAGGTAAAAATAATCACAGTAAAGATGCCAATCCTTCATGTGTCCCAAACTTTCCTATATAAAAATGTGAGATGCTTGGGTAATATGTCTGGTAATATTCCCACTGCTGCTGATGTTGTTAATGGCAGTTTCTGTTGTTGACTGATAGCCATGTATTGATGGATATTGTTTCTCTTTCTTATAGGTCATTCTTTAAAACTTTTTATTATTTTTTAATATTTATTTTTATTAGTATCTATTTATGACGTACAGTAATTACATTCATCTTGGAGAATTAGTACTTATACATATCACATTTTAATCATTTTGACTTCCCCTATTCTTATTTAGCTTCTCTACTCTAGGTGTTTACAGTTTCCTTATATCATAGCATTCATTTCTCCTATGCTTAGTCCTTCCAGGGAGGAAAATCATGAATACATGAATTCAAGGAAAGCCTGGGCTACATAGCAAGTTTAAAGGCAGCCTATACTACATAGAAAGACTCTGTCTCAGGGGAGGAAAAAGCCAACTTTCTAGACATGCTCTGGTTTAAAGTTAGCTCTTTTTTTTTGACACAGGGCCTCACTTTGTATTCTAGGGTGCACTTGAACTTACTATGTAGCCCAGGCTGTCCTGGAACTAATGATCTTCCTGCCTCAGCCTCCCCAGTGCTGAGGTTGTACGTGTACATCACATCTGCCTTTAAAGTCAGCTTTAAATCCCTTAGACAGCTTTGTTTCGAACATCATGGGCTAGTCCTGGTTTCATCTCTCCTCGAAAGGGCATTGTAGGGATGTAGGCTGAAGGTCCAGAATGTACTGGATGCTCACTGAGACATGCATGCAGTTACCAGGGTCCAGAGTCTCTATTTTGGCCCCAAAGCAAATGAGAAATGAAGGAAAAAGTTCATTGGTTGGGTTAGTGAGTTTAAATTTGGTGCATAGAGAAGGATACAGTCTAGACCATGTGGGTGTGACAACTGGAGAACACAGACATGGTCACCGAGAAAGGGATGAGTAGTTAGTTGGGAGGAGCAGACTATGGTATTTTTCTGGAAAGGGAAATTAGATGAGTACTTTAAGTTTGTGGTTTAAGAAGTCAATGTAATTTTACTTGCACATGGTTACAAAGACTGCCACCTCCTTCCCTGTTGGCTGCTCACATTCTCTGGTCATACCACTTCTGTATGTTTCTCAGAACCTAATTTCTCCCTAGTGTTCATTTATCAAAAATTACTCTCAGGAAGGCATTAGCAATTAATCCTTGCCAAGGCCACAGAACTAACAACAGATACCCTTCTGTATTCATTTGCACTTTAATGAAGTGCTGAGTATCACAGTGTGTGGATGTTTACCTTGTTTTAACATGAAATTTTGCTGGGGATTTAGCTCAGTGGTTTCGCAGCCTGCTGCGCAAGGGCAAGGACCAGAGTTCGATCCTCGGTACCAAAAAAAAAAAATAGTATCCATTAACATGAAATTTAATGAATTGATTTGATGAGTTAAGCCAGTCTAGCATGGAGGATTTATCTCCCCCCCCCCATATAAAATAAAATGTTTGCCCTTACTCTGTCCAGTGTTTGAAAACTTGTCCTCCCTGTCATCAGGGAAACAGAAAACACTGTCTAATCATGTGAGCTCTAGTTTTGAGGAGTGTTCAATTCTGTTGTGGAAGAAAAGAAGAAATGGAGTTTTTATATGGAAAAGATGCAGGCAAGTAATCCAAGGCAGGGAGAAGAATGAGAAGAGTCGCAAAAGGGACATTGCCCAAAAACTTATCTTGCAAGCTGCTGAAGAAATGTCCCCTGCTCTCCTCCAAGGACATGTTCCAGGATGGGTCTCATGAGGAGCTGAGAGAAGATACACTGATTAAACATCCTTTCAGGAGCTCACAAGACTTTACCATCAAATATTCTTCGTGGATGAATGGCCTATTCCCCAATCTCTAGATCCATGGGTCAAGTTGTGTAGTCTCTCCTTTTACTTTTGCCATCACTAGCTTCGAACATAGCAAGACTGCTTTCTGTGGATGCAGCTCCTCTTTTGGCTGCCTTTGACAAGGTTCTAATGCCCATAAGCCTCCGTGGATACTAGTTACCTAAAGGCATAGCAGGGAGAACTCCACAGCTGAATGGGGCAGCACTGCACAGAACAAACACTTAGGTTCTCTTACTGTGGCACAGTGGCTTAGTGATGTCAATATTGTACAAATTTAAAGACTCCAAAATATAGAAAATAAAATAGAATTTTAAACATTTGTCAGAATGAGAGGAGGTATTTTCAATCCTTTTGATGTGTTCAGTCTCAACTAGCAGGGAAGAAGAGTGGAGAAGTGGTTGATGGATAGAGACAGAAGGGAGAAAGACAGGGACAGGAAACACGATCTAAGAGAGGATGTGTCTGATTATACAGAAAGACTAGATTTGAATAGCGAGACATTTCAGGCAAGATGCAATTCTTTGACAAACAGTGTGAAGAATAAAGCATACAGTATACCTTCTGTTGAACACATTTTTGTAATCTTGGAAAGACAAGGAAAAGGGTGGATGTGAGTAAGTTAAAAAATATGTCATTACAGGGTGTCTTTAACATTGCCAGTAAGGACATAGAATTACAATACAAGAATTCCCCACCCATCCTAGCAGCTCCACATAGACTTGGTGGGAATAAAGGCAATAAAAGAAGTAAGCTGCCAGCATCAGGTCATCAATATTCCTGGACTCACTTGATGCTTTCAATAGGACTAGCCTTCATATTATTCCTTTTGCTATTTTGTTGTTAGAGACTCGCCTTCCAGCGTTTCTCTCTCCCTCTTATTTTTATTTTTTCTTTTGGTGCTGGGGATCCAACTCGGGTCCTTGCGCTTGCGCAGCAGGCGGCGAAACAACTGAGCTAAATCCCCGGCCCTCTCTCTCACTCTTTAAGACACACTGAGCTCCCTCAGCAGCCTCCATAGCAGCAGCTCTCTTCCTGGAGAAAAGCTTCCAGGCTCCTTACTCCATGGTCACTGATCTCATGAGCTCCCTTCAGAGACTCACAGTTAAGGAATTCTTTGTTGTCCCGGGACTTAATGGCTGCAGTGACCTGGCAAACAGAGAGGCTCATCTTGCTGTGAGATTCCAGGTTCTCTCAGGAATTTCCTTCCCTCCTTGGGCCTTCTCTAGTGCTCAGCACCCCACATGTCAGCCCTGGTGTCCTTGCCAGACTGACACTGCTCACATCTGATGCTCATTTAGCTTGGAGTTGCAGTTTTCGGGAAACGTGTGGCATTCAAATGAAAACATTTTTGTCATCATTTTCTTTTTTTTTTTTTGTACCGGGAATCAAACTTGGGACCTTGTGCTTGCGAGGCAGGCAGCCAGAATCACTGAGCTAAATCCCCAGCCTGTCATCATTTTCTATTCTCCATCTCAAGAGAATTTCTGAATGTCTGTAGACTCTGGGGACCCTTTAAAAATTTTTTTTCCTTAGCCAATTTATGCTGGGAACAAGGGTGAGAGCACAGAAGTTACTATAAGGAGAGATACATTAGAAAATATACTACTTTCAATGCTGCTCACTCCCACATTGTCCATAGTAATCATAAGGTCACAAAGAAATGATTAAATAAAGGATGGCCTGGCCATATCAGGACATACTGTGCAGCAGTGCAAACAATAAGAAGGAAGAATTTAGCGATGTGTAGCACCACACACCTGTCATCCCACCACTGGAGCCTGAGGCAGGAAGGATGTATGCTTGAGATCAGCTTGGGTAACTTAGCAACTCAGCAAGACCCTGTTTCAAAAAAAAAAAGGGGGGCCACTCAGTTTGAAGGCCCTGAGTTCAGTCCCCAGTATATCCGCCTCCCAAAAGAATTTCATTCATGAGGGAGATGCCAGGATTTAGCTCAGTGGTTTCTCCGCCTGCTGTGTAGGCGCAAGGATCCGAATTCAATCCCCGGTACCAAAAAAAGACA